AAGCAGTGTAATCTGTGAATTTTGCCCTGAAGATGGAGGTGATATGTTCCTCCGAAACATTGGTTGGTGCTCTGCCTTACATCTCAGGTTATCACAGCGGTCGTTACGAAGAGTATTATCTTCTGGGATATTAAGCCACGTGCTGATGGAATTATGCCATGAAGATGGAGGCGATATGTTCGTCCGAAACATCTGTTGGTTTTTTAAGGGCTATATGGCGTTTTACCCCAGACGATGGCACTCTTAATTACACTCTGTTTGTGCTGATGCAAACGAGTGACAAGGCGATATTGAAATAGGTTAATTTTTGGACGTTTTAAAGGCGCTTTGAATAGCTAGATCACATATTGGTCCTGTAACTCGCGGAGAGGAGGCTGTACCCAGACATCGGCCACAAGCCAGCCGGAACATTTCACAGATTAAGGAAACAACTTCGCAACAACAATATCATACCGACATAGCAACCAAAGAGTGACTACTCCACACAAGAATTCATAGTCCCTAATAAGAACTAGAACTCACAATCAGTAAAAGCGAGGACTAATATACTTATAGATCCTCGTCTTAAATTCAATTTTTATAATTTGAAATTATAGTTTTAATCAATTAATTTTAATTTTAACGTTGATGATCTTGTAACAAGTTCAATATCAAAATAAAGAACCATAAAATATGGATCCATATTAAGTATAAATCAGTAATTGATGATGACCCATCAGGGGTCGAAACATGTTGTGCCTCAGATATAAGATCTTCATGTAAACAGGCCATCTGTATACTTTTTATAAATTGTTGTGTTATATGAAATACGAAATAAACATTTTTATAAGATAAATTTTTACAGTAGAATATTTCCGAAGCTGACAGTCGTTCAGCTGTTTAAGATATTTTACTCCTTTTATTGAGCACGAGGAATCCCAGTCCCTTCATCTAACATTGCGATCTCTAATCAGTCTCATGATATAGGCCATGTGTATGAAAACAATGAGAAACATGTCGGCAGGGCGAATCTTAAGTTAAGCTTATCCGATAAATTTAATGTACACAAGATACTAAACTCGTAATTAAATGTACTATAAAAATGTAATTCAATTTTTATTTACTAACGTGCAAACTTAATAGCCCAGAGGCCAATTACAAAGTGAGTATGAGTAATAATTCAATTCAGTTCCTTTAATTAAGTGCTTGCCGACAGCGAGTGTCACATACGTAACATGTGAGCTCTGAAAGAATATACAGCAAGAACTAGACCATAAACTACACTAAGAATTAAGTACGAGATAACAAAACAATAGGGTAAAGCGTCAGTTACGTAACCGGAACCGCTAACCCGGTAGGAGTAAGCAAAGGAAAATGCATCTGCAAAGGATTGTAACATCCAGAGATCTGCAGATGTACTCGTAGTTTACAGCCGAAACGAGGCTAATTCGTGAGACCCTGCTGACGGTAAAGGCGAAAATGTCTCGAAATTACTGAGTGGGTACACGGAGATCAACAGTGTCCATAACAGAACCTCAGTTCATTTTGTTCTCGAAAGCGTTATTAAGAAATAAAGCGTCAAGGTTTGGTCGCCTGGTATACTTACTTACTCATGGAGCTGAGCCCTTCTTGAGAAGTCGCCAAATCTGCAGCTACGCAAGAATTTCCAAACAATTTATGGAACCCGAAGGTTCATTACCGTATTCAAAAGAGCCCTCAACTGGTCCCTATCCTGAACCAGGTCAATCCAATTCATACCATCCCATCCTATCTCTCTAAGATCCATTTTAATATTGCCCACCCACCTTCGTCTTGTCCTTTCCAGTGGACTCTTTCCTTCTGGTTTTCCCACCAATATCCTATATGCATTCCTCTTCTCACCCATTCGTGCTACATGCCCTTCCCACCTCATCCTCCTTGACTTGATCATTCTAATTATACTTGGAGAAGAGTATTGGTCGCCTGGTATAAAGCGTTAAATTATTAATAATAATAATAATTCATGTTCATGTTTATTTACGTGCAAACTTAACAGAACAGAGGCCAATTACAAAGCTACCACGAATAGAGAAATAATAATACTGGAAAGGTAAATTTGACCCTGTCCTTAACTAATTAAGTACTACGTCATGAAGGCGTATGGAGGAGTGGATGTATAGAACCATATTTTCTTGACCTCGGCAATAGTTAGAAGTGAGTGGTCAGCTTCACGCTCCTACCACTTTATCCCCGTGGATAGAGCAGCCGGTACCCATCGGATAGGAGGTTGTGTGGGACCCAGAGCCGGTCTGGACGCTGTGGAGAAGAGATAATCCTTGACCCTACCGGGACTCGAATTCTGACCCCTCGGTCGTCCAGCCCGTAGTCAGTCGTTATACTGACTATGCTATCAAGGCTCCTCAATAATAATAATAATAGGCCTAGAACTGTTTTGAGACATCCGTGTGCTGTAGGAAACCTGGCATTCGAGATGTTAGCATCATTCACTGAAGTGAAATTAATTTGGAAGACACACAACATGGAATTACAGTACCTCACCGCAAGCTATGTCACGCGATACCTCACATGACGAGGCTTGAGGCAAAATAGCTGAACACGTGACCAAAAAGAAAACGTTTTGTTCTTTAGGCAGAAACCAGTAAATTACGAGTAATTACGCAGTTAGAAAAGGTAAAGGTATCGCTGTAACACACCATGGAGGCCCATACGGTAGTGAGACGTCGAGGCTCCCACATTTTCTCTAGACAATCGGCTCACAGACGGCGGTGAGGTTGTCAGCCTTACGCACCCACCGCCCTTTACCCCAGGACGGTGTGGAGAAGATGACCAATCTGTTTTGTGTAACGGATAAGAGAAAATTTGTAGGGATTTACAGAAGAAGGTGCTCCCTTACAGGGCAGAAGCAGGCTTATGCTATAAGAACGTGTGACTGTACGTAATAGAAATTAATACTGAATTTTGGTTTCTTCTATAAAGAAACGTGGCCCATAATACTTAACGCGGCAGCAAAATAAACTATATTTTAGTGTTTCACGACACAATAAGTCGTGTAGACTCTTCACGCAGGTATGTAGTAAGTAGGCTAAGACGGGCTCACATATCCAAGGCGGGTTGGAATAACCCAAAGTAAATTATTTTCTCTACGTCATTAATTAGGGGAGCGGAAAAATCTCAGTCGCTACAGCGATCCGGCTACGGGCTGAACGACTGAGGAATCGGGGTTCGATTCCAGGCAGTGGCAAAGGAGTTTACTCTTCTTCACAGCGTCCAGACTCGTTATGAGGTCCACTCATTCTTCTATCGAATGGCACCGGGGACTGTTTCCCCCGAGGTAAAACAGCCGGAACGTGGAGCTGACCACTATTATCTCTAAAGAAGGTCAAGAATGCTGGAGCTATAATTCCAACGCCCCACGCGTTTTCATAGCGTGGTAATTAATTAATTAAACGCAGGGATATCACCTTTTAACTTAATTATATTTTTATCTAATTAAGCTTATAGCCTATATTTTTTTGTAATCCTAGAGCCCGTGCATGAAAGTTCAAAGGAACGATTAAACATCTGCTATAGGCCTAATTTTAATGCCCTCAAATGACTCTGGAATTAATTTAAAATACGTTAATATTTTTTTTTAATATTGCGTCAAACCTGTAGACACTTTCTATGTAAACTCCAAACATGTTATTCACACATTTTAAATAATTTTAAAAGTAATTTTGAATTGGACTAAACCACATAATAGGCCTATGGTTATGTATTACAGTACAACATTTTATTTAGGGCCGATCACAGTGACCGCGTGGTCTGAAGCATGAACTGCCTTCCCCGCTCGAACTCTGGGATCGTGGGTTCGAATCCAACTCCAGGCACATTTATCCGTTTTGTGTGCTTTTATTCTGTGTTTGTGTTGTTCTGTGTAGGTAGCGGCCTTGCGACAGGCTGATCACCCGCCCAAGGTGTCCTACAGTCTGCACATAGATTAAGAAAATGAAAAAGCGACCAAAGTCCAACAAAATGCTATAGGGCCATAGATCAGTAGATTATACCGCTAATTATGAGAGCAAGGGGCACATGAATTGCTTAGATTAATACAGATTTTTATTCTGAAAATTGAACTAGATATCATATAAAAAGGACGGAAAAAAATATCAATGCAATAACTGTTTTCTTAACGAAAGATTAACATTCCTGCTTCGTGTTCGGCAGGTAAGGGAATCGTAACTCGATCCAAGAACCAGTTATTTCGAATTTCTGCAGAACTTTCTTCGGGACCACTTCCAGTTAATTATTCGGTAAGCATTCTACTGTCTGACGCTATGCCATTAAGCGTTAACTACTCACAGCATAGTTAAATAAGCCACAAATAATTAAACAATAATAAAACAGACGCAATAACAGATGTCAATTACGAGGTAGCGAGACATAATTCACTAGGAATATATAATACGTGACACAGCGGGAGAAACAATGCCTTAACGACGTGTTATGAACACGTGTATCCAGTTTTCCTTCATTTTTTGCAATTATGTGTGCAGTAACAAACCCTAACTTAACGTGCGTCAGTTAACAAGACAGCTTTTCGGATTGTTCTTTTAGTTCTCTTGTTGGTGTTTATCCTTAAGCTGAATTCCTGTTTGTCACGTGAGCGGATTGCTGGTAATTCACTGACATCAGCCAAGTGCCTTGTTATCGAGTTGGCACGCTCCACCTACCATGTATAAGACGAAAATACCCATGGGTAGATTGTGTCGGAGGGGTGGTGGCCGGACGGGATTATTCCCCGCCCATCAACTGGGACAGCACCGCCCATGACTACTTCCCATCTCAACAGAGTCTGACATCTGTCGGTGGTTGACGGAGTTTGGTTCAACCATCCAGCCTTAATGGATAGCGTGTGCAGTTGAGAGGGCAGGGGGGGACCGGCCGGGATCTCACGCATGCAAGTTTTCTATACCATTTGTGGGAGGGGGGAGGAAGGGAGAATGGGTCCTTTGAAGGATAAGGCCGTCAGACATAGGCGGAGCTTCTTCAGTCTTCGCCTCGCTGCTTTCGAGGTAGGAAGTGGAATGCGTTATTAGCGGGTTCCCTTGCGGTGTTAGACGCGCGCGTACGTGAAGCGGTTTAAGACGCATTTCCCGTGCTGCACTGTTACTGACAATGGAAACTTATTCTCGTTTACTGTTCGTTAGTTTTGTTAGTGTGTGTGATGTGACATGTTAGTTGTGACGTCACTGGGCACAGAGTGTTGTGAGCGTCTGTCGAGAACACAACGGGAAAAGTGTTAAAAAAGTGTTAGACGTCAGTATGACGCCACTCCTGCTGCTTAGTTTGCTGACAGTCCTAACAGTTGAGTGCCGTAGTATAACGAGTAGACACGAGGACGCCCTTAAGGACTGCCAGTGGCAACGCATGATACCGCCTCCCGGATCGGAGAGTGATGATGACGCCGCCACCTCAGCGTCGGTTGTTCTCGCGTGCCGCTTGCGAACAATCGGCGGTACGGACAGCCTGCTTAGAAATCTCACGTCCTCGCAGGTGGAGCGCATAACGGCCTTGCGACTCGAGTGTAGTGATGTTCTGTTCTTCGAGAGCTCACTTGAAAGCAATAACAAACATGACGGCGGAAGTTTTCTGGGTCAGCTTCGGCGGTTACGTGACCTTCGCATCGAGTTCTGTAAGATCAGGTACGTGCCTTCCGCCGTGTTGGCGTCCCTGCGCGAGTTACGGCACCTCTCGCTACGCACCCACAACACGGACTGGTCAGCCATGACCATGGAGTTCCATCCGCACAGTTTTCGTGGCCTTGCCGAGCTCCGTAACCTTGATCTCGCAGACAACAATATATGGACTCTGCCTGCAGAACTTTTCTGTGCACTGTACAGTCTCTCTCATCTCAATCTTAGTCGTAACCGAATACAAGACGTTGCCGAGCTCGGATTCTCGGATTGGGGAAATGGCCCATCGGCTCCTGGGAAAACTTGCAACGTTGGTCTCGAAGTTCTTGACATGTCAGCAAATGACATTAGTCTTATGCCGGATAATGGTTTATCTAGCCTTCGCTCCCTCCAGAAATTATATATCCAAGACAATTCACTTTCATCCCTGGCTGATAGGGCCCTTGTTGGCCTCATTTCCTTGCAAATCCTCAACGCCTCGAGCAATTTGCTTGTCGCCCTCCCGCCGGAATTATTCCAGAGTTCACGTGACATAAAAGAGATCTACTTGCAGAACAATTCCATAAGTGTGCTTGCTCCGGGCCTGTTCGAAGGCTTAGATCAACTTCTAGTGCTGGACATCTCGTCCAACGAGTTGACCAACAACTGTGTCAACCGCGATACATTCTCTGGTTTGGTCCGTCTTGTGGTACTCAACTTGGCACGCAACGATATCACACGGATAGATTCTCACGTTTTTCAAGATCTGTACAGTCTGCAGATCCTCAACCTTGAGGAGAATGGTGTCGAAGTGATTACAGAAAGTGCTTTTTCCAGTCTCAGTAACCTCCATGCTCTAACACTGACGCACAATAGCTTGGTTCAACTGGAGCCGTATCATTTCGCTGGACTTTATGTGTTAAATCAACTGTTCCTGGACAACAATCATATAAAATCCATCCACCCTCGCACATTCGAGAACTGTACTAATTTACAGGACCTTGGTATTAGTGGGAATTCTCTGAGTGAAGTGCCTGAAGGAATCGATCAACTTCGCTATCTCAAGACGTTAGACTTGGGAGAGAACCATATATCCAAACTCAGTAACACTTCCTTCGAAGGACTGGACCAATTGTACGGTTTACGTCTTATCGACAATGAGCTAGTAAACATTTCCAGGGACGCATTTTCAGGTCTACCGTCTCTTCAGGTGTTGAACTTGGCATGTAACAAGATACAGTTTGTTGATCAAGGTGCTTTTGGGACGAATCCAACCCTCAGAGCAATAAGACTTGATGGTAATATGCTGACTAATATTGACGGTATATTCACACACCTTCCTGGACTCGTGTGGCTTAATGTGTCTGACAATCAGCTGACTTGGTTTGATTACGCTTTGCTGCCACAAAGTCTCGAGTGGCTTGATATGCACAAGAATCAAGTGTCTAAGTTGGGTAATTATTTTGACATTCGCAGTGAACTGCAAATCAAAATGCTGGATGTGAGTTTCAACAGACTGACTGAAATAGGTGAAGCTTCAATACCTAACAGTGTGGAGAGTGTTTTCCTAAATGACAATATGATAAAAAAAGTGCAGGCCAATGCTTTCCTCAAGAAAGTGAATTTGAGTAGAGTTGTGTTATATGCAAACGAACTTGAAAACTTGGATTTTGGCGCACTGAGACTCCAACCCGTACCAGAAGACAGAGATCTCCCCCAGTTCTATATTGGCGGGAACCCATTTCACTGTGACTGTACCATGGAGTGGTTGTACAGAATTAATCAACTGAGTCATCTAAGGCAACACCCACGTGTCATGGACCTAGATACTGTTACCTGCCGTGTCTCTTACTCGCGAGGCGATGTAAATAGACTCCTCCTTGATCTGAAACCATCACAGTTCCTCTGTCCATACGAGACGCACTGCTTCGCCCTGTGTCACTGCTGTGACTTTGATGCTTGTGACTGTGAGATGACATGTCCTGAAAACTGTACATGCTACCACGATCACACGTGGTCAGCCAACGTAGTTGACTGTTCCAACGGAGGCCACAAATCGGTTCCAGCTAAAATTCCAATGGACGCCACTGAAATCTATTTGGACGGAAATGAACTGACAGAGCTTGGTAGTCACGTGTTCATAGGGAAGAAGAAGCTTGAGGTGTTGTACCTGAACGGCAGCAACGTAGCAGCAATCCACAATAGAACGTTTAATGGCGTGACGTCACTCCGTGTCTTGCACCTGGAGAATAATCTGCTTCAGGAACTGCGAGGATTTGAGTTTGATCAGCTCGAGAATCTGAACGAATTGTATTTGGACCACAACGACATTTCGTACGTGGGTAACGCAACGTTCTCAGCAATGCGGTCCCTAGCAGTACTTCGGCTGGATCAGAATAAGATCGTTAACTTCTCACCATGGCAACAACTGGCAGCGGCAGGAGACTCCCTGGTTCAGGTCTCCCTTGACGGCAACATGTGGACCTGTGAATGTGAATCCACGAGCCACTTGGCGGAGTGGCTGCGAGACAACAAGGATGCTATGAGTGGTTCCAATCCAAGCAAGATGTTATGCCTCGACGGGAGTAACAAGAAGCCGAAGGAAAATTTGTCGGATTTTATCAAACGATGCAATAAAGGTAATCAGAACGCTGTTGCAACATCCGTGGTGCAGAAGAACCCGCTATTTACCACCAGCATTTTAGCAGAAAGTTACGTGCCACTTCTAGCAGCATCTCTGGCTGTTATAATGGTCATATTACTCGTCAGCACTCTCATATTTATATTCCGCCATGACGTCAGGCTGTGGGCACATTCTCGTTATGGCGTTCGCTTATTTAGCGATTCTGTGACTTCTTCTGAAGCTGATGACGACAGAGACAGGCTCTATGATGCCTACATGGTCTACAGTATCAAAGATGAGGACTTTATAAGCACGGTAATAGCTTCAGAACTGGAACAGAGTGGATATACCATGTGCCTTCATTATCGCGACATCCATATCATGGCCGGAGCTTCATACCTGGCAGATAGCGTGCTGAGTGCCTCAGATGCCTCCCGCAAAATCATTATCGTGTTATCCCTCAGTTTCCTGCAGAATGAATGGGACCGACCAGAATTCCGGGCGTCGTTACAGGCTTCTTTGGAACAAACACGAATTGCCATGAGAAGAAACAAGGTGATATTTCTTCTGACTACCGAACTGCAGACATTGAATCTTGACCCAGATCTGCAGCTCCTTCTGAGGACTTGCACTGTAATATCATGGGGGGAGAAGAGGTTCTGGGAAAAACTGCGTTATGTTATGCCCGACGTGGCTGCAGTCAAGAAAAAGATAAAAAACCGAAAATCATCTTCAGTAGCAGTCAATGAAGTGAAGAAGAAAGTCGCGAGAGATGAAGCTGGCAACATGGCTTCTAAAGTTGCCAGCACCAGGTACATCGCGACGCCAACGTCTCTAGATTCCTGGTATAAGTATTCAGTCATATCACAGCCGACGGCTCCTTTACACCAGGCGGTGCCAACCCCTACTCCCACACAGTCAACATACGTGTCCGAGAATTCTTCACAGAGGACCACTGACCATGAAGAAGAGGAAGAGAGCTCCAGTACAACGAACGGCAGTCACCAGTATGAGTTCCCCGATCATCACAATGTGCACAGCCACACGAGGCATCCCCATCATCACCACAAAAATAACAACCACAGAAACCACCACCACTTGTACAGCACCATCCCAGATTCGACACCACTGACTTATCCTCACAGCAGATCTTCTACGTCGAGCGGAGACCCCACGGAGAACTACCCTGCCAGCATGTGCAAGCATACCAACGCGATCGTCGCAAACGGGAGGACTTATTTCGTGTAGAGTGAGAGTGGGCCCTTAGGAGACATAAATACTTGCGCTCAACCCAAAGTGATAAAGCGGACGTGAGACACAACTTCGATGTTTCGACTAGTCAACTGAGAGACTTTGAGCTGAAGGTATGTACAGAAACTAGTCCTAAACCGTTATCAGATGGCTTCCTACCCTCTCTGAATGGAACATCGATTGCGTTGTATTCAAGTCTGCTGTGAACTACAAAGTTGCGACAGCATGCCGTTGTGTTTCCATTACCGGCGCCAATTGAGAGGCTAAAACTTCCCCCCTTTATACCAGCAATTTGCGTTAGTAGCATAATGTATTATCTCTCTCTGTCTCTCTTCCGGTAATGCCCACATAGCATGCTGCGGGCACAATTAAATTACAGCATCGTGTGTACATGGCGCTAATGAGAAAGTGAACGGGTAGCTTGCTGTCCAGGGGCACACATTCTTCTGTGAATATGTGGCCGGTCTACGTTTGTGTTTTATTTAATTAAATGAAATGTGTTTTTGTGTGAAACTATATCTTCCTATTTATACAAAAGCTGAACTGGTCATTAATTATTTGTTTATGCTATAGACTTGGTTTACATCTCTTTTTCGTACTTGTATTTTATTTATCAATTTGTTTTTGTAAATAAGGACATGCACTTGGACTTGTTCCGCTAGAAGAAGGTGTATTTCAGAAGACATGTAAATTGAAAACATTTTTTTTTAAAACAGAAAAATAAATTGAGATTTATATACCATAAACGTTATTCATGAGAAATTGTTTCAATAACAGTGAGACACCTACCCACTGATAAACTTCTACAGCTAGTGTTCATCATATAATACTAGGCCAGATGTGATGAAGAAAGATGACATAGGTAGGAATTTCGGCATCCTTGGGGGAGGAAGGGTTGTCAAATGAATTCCAATATTTTTAGCCGAAATCCTGAAGAGCAGAGACCAATATTTATAGGCATAGATGTGAAGGTAATATTAAAGTGGATCTCAAAGCAGTAGGATATGTTGTGCACTAGACTCCACTGGCTCAGTGTAGGGCCATTGGCAAACTGGTATGAATATGAAATGACTGTTCCATGAATTTTTAGTGATTTTTTGATTAGCTGAATGACTGTTAGATTCATACTGCATGAAGTTCGAAACAGACCCAATCGAAACATATATATTTATTGATGAATAATTTACACACTTACACGCAGTTAAATGGGATGTAATACTGAGCAATGACTGCCAACAGAGTGTCACCACATGCCATAACAATATGGGCGCTGTAAGTCTTGTTCCCTCTACTGTCTACAGAGTTTGAATAGAACACTATTACTGAATATCTTCTGGTTCTTGCAGCAAGGAACTAAAACTTAATTTAATCTCAACCATAGCTGGACTGTTGGATGTTCAATTGAGGGCCTACCTAACATCAATATTACGCCAAGGTTTAACTTTTGAATATTATCATCTTCACGTATTAACGACTCATGTGAATGTTTTTGAAGCCGGGATTTCGATATCCAAGCTATACGTATTTAAGATATAGGCCTATGTTTTTAGATTACAAATTAATAAAAATTTGGAAACCATTTTATTCTTAAAAATAAATTAATAAATTGTGTTAATAACTGTTTGCTAACAAATTACATTGATTTTAATTTTGATATCCCAGAATATATATATATATATATGACTATCTCAATTATTTCTATGTGAATCAAATATATGTAGAAAACAGCTTGTTTAAAAAACATAGAGCAATGTGTACTCATTCCTTTATTTAAACATGTACACATCGTTGCTCTGAATTATCCTGTTGGGCTCTAGAGTAATTCTACCGTGTTACGTATGGTACATAAATATATGCCCACCGTCGGTTTAAAATGGAATAATACACACGTTCCAGAGAACGTGAATAATGGCCTTATATTAGTAATGAAGCTTCAAATATAGAGTGTAAGCTTTCAGTTAAAAATAATATTTGTTCGTATATTTTAAACCATTTTCTGCAATAGTATAGAAGCTGGCTGACATTAAAGAAGATAATCCCGCCTTTATAAGAGCAATAACTTCTATTATCACGGAGAAGTGTTTGTGTGATTATATTTCAGGGATAATCGCCTAGGGCAGTGTTTCTGAAACTGTCCTACACTGAGGCAAACTGAAATATATTTCACTGTCTCATGGTATACGGTTCACAAATTATTGTAAAGTTATTGGCTTTATTTAAGCACGTATGCCTGTTTGCATAAATTGTCAATCCATATATTTTTCAGGTTCTTAATTTATAGACTTGTACTATTTTTGCAATTATTATTCACAGCAGCTGATAATTTATCTTTTACTATTTCAGGAAAGTGCAATAAATTACATTCGTGGTAAAATACGAAAGAGAGTCAGTAAATAGGCCAGAAACCTGAACAAAAAATTATTTCTCTACATATCCCACACCAACACTGATACATCGCTTTATCAGTGCGTCGAAACCCACAACAATATCTCGACTGTTGTCTCAGCCACTTCTGCATCTCCATTTAAACCTCTTCGTCATCAGTGAAACGATTACCATCCAGCTGTGAACGACTTTAAGCAACAACCACTTCCCATCTTAAACAGGAAACACACTTTTTATTAATATATCTTGCACAGAGTCCTGCCCACAAAAGAAAAGCAGGACAGAAGGCTGCTCTTTGGTGATAGAATCCACAAGCATAGTCGCCATTTTGACTACTGAAACCAGCCTCTGAACATGCGCATGCGCGTCAAAACGCTGGACTGTGCTGCTACCTAGTCATACACATAGAAAACCTGTACACATATTAATACTGTTTTACTTCCATTTCTGACCTACTTACTGACTTAATTTAGTGTTAAAAAATTAGGCGTATGTTCTTAGTGCGCGCAACGTTTGACAGACAGGCGTGGAATACGAAAATCTGGAGCCATCAAACAAGTTAAAAAGGAACAGCAGGCGAGACTCATTAGGCGACAAAACAGGACGGAGATGCTTATGACAGAAATAGTTTAATTCTTAGCAGAGCTGCACAGTTTTTGAAAAAAAAAATAATAATAAACTTCGTTCAGGACAGCCCTTCTGAACTTCGTTAGTTCGAAAACTTTTCCTTGGTCTCAGAGTGAAAATTCACGTATTCCTTTCCAAAAGCGACTTATTTCTACCTCAAACTGCGTCTTATCGCGAATTTTAAACGCGACACTCCCTCTCTCTCTGGCTCTACGGCCCTTTGGACCTTGGCTGCTTTTTACGTTTCTTAATCCTATACACAGTCGCTATGACTCCTTGTACGGGGGAACAGCCCGTCGCAACGCCACTACTTGCACACAGGTCAACACAAACACAGAATAAACGCACACAGACATCCAATCCTCGAGTGGGATTCGAACCCACGAACGCAGCGTTCTAAAGGGCGAAGACCGCGCGACCTCTCTGATCGGCAAACATGACAGACTACGAGGACTTAATTAATTTGAAATAACATTTATTAATTTCACGCAGAGAGAATGTTTCTCGAAAGAAAGATAACAAAGACTGCTTCATATGCCTCCAACCCGTGTCTGATAACGGGTGAAGTAACTCCCTTACAAGGTTCTATGTACCCCCTGTAGAGCTCTCACTGTCCCTTGTATCGGCCCTCTTCTCGCAACACTATTGTGCTCTGCAAAATCACGAGGCCTATGTCACGCGTGTGTTCAGTCATGTCATCGAGCAATATCTCAAAATTCTTAACTTGTTTGCTAATCTGGTAATTTAGAACTTTTACTACCCAATATAAATTACATAAGATTCTATATGTTCTGCCGTTGTATTCTGTAACAAAGCGTAATAAGCCTCATATTTTTACCAAACACCAATGCTACCAACATAACAGTTCGAATAGATATAGATATGCCTTGCTCAGTCACGGAAATATTTCAATTGCCTAAAACCAAATTTCGTTCGTATTCTTCGTTAAAATTGTGCATCACTAATTGTTTTCTGGTTCATTTCAGTGGTCTGCACCTTTGTGCAATTTGTAGGCTCCTTCATGCTCCGATCATTTTGACCCCAAGATCCTATTACAGGGGACTATCGGTTGTACCCCAGTGCTGGTCTGAGAGAAACATTTTGCAGTCGCCTTCAGTCGAATGCAGAGCGGCTAGTCCTTAGCCAGTCAATTTACTGCTCAGGATTTCCATATTTAAATGGAGGCTTAACCGCTTAAAGCACAATGGTTGCTATATGTACCAACAGGCTGCAAACATGTGGCATGGTAGGGACGGAGAGCCTGGTGAAACACAGAACCTGAATATATGGCGCTGGGCCGAATGAGAGTGAAGAGTGAGCGAAGGAACGAGTGAGACCCGACAAAGTCGCTCCCCAGTAGAGGAGGCCCCATTTCAAAACACATAAAAGTCTCGGAAAGAACAAAATTACAACCCAAAACCAATAATGACCCTGCTGACGAGGGCCAGCAGCTATTTGATGGACCGAACTGGACACGGGACTGGAACGGTATGAATTTGAGACAGACTATACCACCCAGAAGGGTGAGGTTAAATTTATTTTCCCAAATTACTCTAATCCTAGAATTTTCATATCCTAACCAGTTGAAAGAACTGTTTCCTGTCCCATTGATCTGTGAGTGAGCAGTGGTTAGCCCACAGAAGGTATGAGTTTATCAAGATAATGCCTGAAAGTTTAAAACTGGAACAGGATGAACAGGATATGCTACACCGGACAGGAATCCAATCCAAGTTCTGCCGATTGTATGAACATTATATTCCTTGTTATGACAACTATTGCAAACCGTCACTGTTATTGCTTTTACGTGTTCTTTGCAAGTAAAGTTCAAAGAAAGGGGGTATGCTGGAAGCGTGCATAGGAAACAGAAACGTCGGTTAACACTATCTACACGGCGTCACATCCCAGAAGACTGCATTCTTCAGTGAATAGGAATGTTTTCTCAATGAAGTTTTCTTGGTAATTTTGCAGAAGCCTGCACGCACAAATCTACTGTTACGGACACACACTTGTGTCGATGCTGAACACAAATAGATGTAGCGATGCAATTGTCCCTCGTATTTCGTGAACTACTCAAAATATTAAAAATATCTCCAAGATTTGG